CCATTTTATTTTTACAGGCGTTGCCTTATCATTAAATGATGACCTGACCTCGACACCTTGGCACCAGCTGTTCTGACAGGATTATTTCAAAGTGGTTGAGTACTTTCAAAATTATTAAAGTAGTGAGTTGTTAAAATTGCCGCCGGCCTAAAATAATTTCCCTGACAATTGTTAATTGCGTTCCTTTCGCAAATTTAGTTCACCAACGGCCATTGTAATGAAGTTTGCACGTGTTCAAATCGGCTTTAACTTTGTGTCTCAAAAATGGCCCTACAATACAATCATATTTTTGATTTTTTTAAATCAAATTGATGACCCACTGAGAATTATAGTGGCCTAATCTCAATTAGGAGGAATCCTAATAATAATTAAAAGATAATAGGTATTTTCACTTTTAAAATTTTATTTTGTTTTATTTTTTTAAACCAGTGTTCTATTGAAAACTTCAACAATAATTAGTTGATTTGAGATCAATAAATTTTGAGGATTAGGTTGGTATACAACCAACAAATTACTTTAGTTACAATTTGCTTACAACATTTTTTCACCAAAATAAACAACAAAAATTAGGATTTTTCATATTAAAAGACTTTATTTAGTTCGAATTTATGTGCACTAGAAAATAAAATTGTTAATAAACTGATAAAACAATGATAAAATCAAGCTTGTTCATTTGTTGTATACTCGTATTTCGGGGAAGTACGGTTGTATGTGCATGGCATTTTTTAGATATCAGTGGTACGATTATAGACCTCAAGGACGGGCATTAGAGCACGATCATTACTGCAGTTTGCATTCTTAGAAGTTGGTAGTGTTTCTTCCTTTTCCACTTACAATAATATTTGGATATTTCAACGCTAATGGTAAGTGAGATTGCATATTTAAATATGAAAGTATTTATTACTGATTCAAAATGATTAAGTTGTTATCGATAACACTGTTGATAAAGTGAAAAACCTGTTTGCTAAGGTTATCAAAATGTTTTTGTTTCCACATGCTCTCCATACAAGCCGTTTTGATTAAAAGTGCTTGGATCAGTGAATAATTTAGACATTTAAATATGAGGCACTTTAGACTTTTTTTTGTCTAAAACTGAAGTTGGTACATTTGGGCAGTGAGGGCAAAGTTCTGTAAGTGAGAAGGTATCCATGTTTGATAGTAAGTACCTGATAAGTGATAACCATACCATAATACCATTTACGTCGTGCCATTTCAATCGCCATTCTGTCACTTTTCATAATGTTGATGTATTTTGGCTTTATTCATAACATCCAGTTGTTGCACAGATTCTTTTTTAACATCAAATGTGTGACTTATTTCTAATAATCTAAACATAATGCCAAGTATTAAAAGAAGATTTACTATGTGTATAAAAAGTGGAATAAATTTTTATCTTTTAAGGCATTAAGTACTCAAAATTACAGGGTATAAGATGTTCAAAGTATTGGACCAAGCGGGTTTTTTAAATCATTTGCCTCCAGAAAATAATAATTAATATAAATTAAAGTAAAATAAAAAATGTGATCGTATTTTGAGATTGAAATTTTGTTTTGTTTTTGGGTTATGCGTTTTTTTGTCAAAGTTGTAATTTATGTAAAAAAAAATTCAAAAAATCAAATATTAAGTAGATAGTTTTAAATTATAACCTAAATGAGAAAGGTAGTTTTATAGTGGGTTGCCATTAACAAAAATATTTTTTTTATGTGGCAAATACGACAAGAAGTTAAAACTGCTTAGAATCAACATTTAGGTCTCTATGCTAAATTTCAAAATCATCGGCCAACTACACATCATTTTTCAGAAGAAGTCCAAATAACTAAACTTGTCTTATTCGAATGTTTTTAGCACTTATAAACACCCACTAAACATGCACGCTGCATGGAGGCCGCCACTTGATCCCCAATGATACCAATAACCAAAAAAATAAATTAATATAAAGTTGTTTTGTCAGTTGCATAGCCAATTGTGGCCAAGCTAACAAATAGACAAAAAGTCCTTTTCATTATGTTTCTTGAGTTACTTAGTTTAACCAATTAGTTTTTCTCGGTGTTATTTTATATTCTGTAATAACTCATTGAATCTTATACAGAATTTATTCGACGAAAAAAACCTTCTGTAGTTATTTTAAAAACTACAAATATTCGGATAAAGCAAAATGAGTTGTTTTGACTTCTTTCAAGCTCTACTATCACCTAGTATAACATACTTGTACAATGAATAATTATTATTTTGTATTATGCGAACGCAACAATGGTTTGTCAATGTTCATATTTTTATAATTTTTCTTATTTATAATTTTTTGACTCAGCAATGGCAAAAGCACTTTTTATTATTAATTAATTAATTAATATTATTAATTCGTGGAAATTTATCTGTGCTCCAATTCACAAAAAAATGTTTGTGTTTTAATTTTTAGTCGCATTTTATTAATTTTGTATTTCAAAAAGGTGGATTAGAAAGATTGTGCAATAAATTTTATTTAACTTATTTATTTTTGTAATTTTTAAAAAAGGCTTCTTTCATTACATTTTTAGGATATGTATTAGAAATTTTGAATTAACATAAAAAATTTTGGTTAAAAATGTATAAAATTAGTAAAAAAAAATATAAATTCAATTTATTTTGTAGGTACAGTGATGGTCCATCATTGTTCTGTCACTTCAAAAAAAGATTGATTCAAACCTTGCATCATTGTCAAAACAACTGACGTGCAGTTTTTGTTATTGTCATAATACTGTAACCACTGTCAGGCATCAAACTGTCAATATGCTTTCAATAACATACTTTAGTAAAGTTCGAATAATTTCCCTTTCTCTAGAGGGTATGTCACGTAGACAAATTTTTGCACCTTTATCGATGATAATCTATATCAAAATGACAACCATGCATGACGTTAGTTCCCATATAACATAGCCTGCATAGCGGCGAATCTCATTTGTGGTGGACCAAATTTATTGTCCGGTACACATAATACCAGTGATTATAGTACATATTTTTAATAAAAAAAATGTGATCCACTTCAATTGTGGCGCAGTAATGCTATACTGCTATATCACAATAAGTATGTACCCTGAAATTATGATAGGCGTTAATATCTAATCTTAATCTAATCTAATCTTATGTTTATGTTTGTTTATGTTTATGTTTAATAAGAATTCAAAAATTTTGGTTGTAAGTAGTTCTCGTAATTTTGGAAGGCGTTGAAACAATTTTATTACGGTTTTTCTCCCGTGTAAGGAAGTTTTGACAACTGTTTGGCATTTTTCAATATGAAACGTCAGATTATTTTTAACAGATTTAAAGCAAGTCTAAGCTTTGTTGAGTCTAATTCGAAGAATAAAATGTTGTATTCTACTCGTTTGAGTGTAAATCGGACGCTTTATTCCACCTCGTAGCTGATAAACCACTCGTTATACTCGTGGTTTAAAAATCCACTCGGTGAAATAATGCGTCCGATTTACACTCAAACTCGTAGAATAAATAACTATATTTTTTATTATTTAACCAAATTAATTAACTACCTACACTACAATAGTTATTTTTATTACAAGTGCCTAAATACAGTTTTAGGTACGTGTTACCAACAACATTTTTTTGTTAAAGCTCCCAAAAAAACAATTCACATCTCTTATTAATTAAAAAAAAATTAGCCACCATAGTAACCAAATTGACTTTTTCGTCCGGAATAACTGTTTTTGGGGACTGAGTAGGAGGTATACAGGGTGCGCCAGAACTCACGCCCCAGAGAAAAATGAAAAATGTAAGGTACGATACCAGGAACATGGAAAAAATGTTAAAAAAATTCTATCTATAAAAATTTCGAAGTTATGGGAGTTTAAATTTTGCTCTTTGACTATTTATTTCTGTTGGAAAAATAATTTTCCAAGTTTTTTTGCTACAGGCTATTAGAAGTGGAAACAAGGAAGCTGTAACTCTGTTTAAGGTTATTTATGGCTTTTATTGGGAAAATTTTTGTCTCTTTACTAAATAATTATAAAAAAAAACATATACAAGATCATCAGTGTTATTAAATAGAGATAAAAAAATGTCAAATGTCAAAAAAATAAATGGCAAAATTTTGCATATTTTAGGTATGTACCTAAAATAAACATTTTACGTACTATTTTATTGAGTCCGGAAAAGACACATTTTAGGGACTCAACTATTTTCGGGAACATATACAAAAAATAGATAAATAAATGTCGTCTTATAACGGGTGTTTATTTAAATTTGGCGTCATAGTTGGCGGTGATATAAAGTGTGTTATGAAAGGACCGCAATTTTTAATACACCTGGCGAGTTGTTAAATGTCATATTAGCTTTTAATACGCTAGTTCGTTCACAATCTAACCTTCATGGATAACTTTAAAAAAAAAACCGTGTTATAATAACTTGTGTAAATTCAATACAAATATTCCTTTCTGATTTCTGACTTTTGTTGTAGACCCGCCTATAGTCCAACATGGCTAATGAGGACATTTCTAAGAAATTGCAAAATCTCAATCTAGGGCGAATCCAAGATATTAATATTTTATTGTTGGGCGAAACAGGTGTTGGAAAATCAACATTCATCAATTCTATCGCTAATTATTTGCACTTTAAAAGCTTCAAGAAAGCAAATAAAGCAGAAGAATTACTCGTACTAATCCCCTCGGTGATCATAGTTACCAATGAAAATTTCGAGCAAGTCACTCTTACCATCGGCTCTGATAAAAATGAATTTCAAGAAGTAGGCGCAGCTGGAACTCAAGATGTCAAAACTTACGTTTTCCCAATTGGTGAAGGAAAAACTCGCCTTCGGTTGATTGATTCTCCAGGAATGGGAGATCCTAGAGGTATCGAACAGGATGACATCAATTGTGAAAATATTTTGGCTTATTTGTCCCAACTCAGCGAACTCCATGCTATTTGTTTTCTGATGAAACCGACAACAACTCGAAAAACAATTTTGTTTGAATATTGCGTCAAACAGATTTTGTCACGATTGGAAAAGTCGGCCAGCAAGAACATCATTTTTATTTTTACCAACACAAGAGGTTCTAATTACACTCCTGGCGATACTTTGCCCTGCTTGAAGACTATCGTCGATGACATTAAAACAAAGCCGCCACACGTTGATATTCCTTTGAAAGGTAATATTTTTTCGGTCGACAATGAAGCTTTTAGATTCTTGGTGGCCATGAAAAACAACATCAAATTCAATGACGAACTACAACAGCGATTTGTTGATAGTTGGAATAAATCTTCAGAAGAGTGTTGGAAGTATGTATGAGTTTGATTCAAAGGCTAAAAGTTTAAAGTATTTTTAGGCTTATTTTGTACATTGTTGGAGATGCAGCACACGATCCACTAAAACCTCATCAGCTGTATAATACCATCAGCATTAATGATGCAAGAAGAATCATTACTCAATTGTCTCAGCCTTTGGCTGATATTTCTCAACTTATCTACGACAACATCCGTATTTTAGAACGTCACAAACGTAACTTGGAAATGGAGAATCAGAGTTTGGATGATCTAAAGAAAAAATTATACATTCCAATTGTTGATCTAGAAGTTACTCAACTAACGCAACCCGTAACGGTGTGTACAACTCCCAAATGTGCAGATGTTGTAAAGGTAATAATGAAAGAAAAATAAAAAAAAATTAAATAAAAAAAGAAATAAAGAAAAATTGTAATAGGTATTTGCTCATAATGTACATTTCTTCTACACTAATGCCAAAAAATTACAGTTTTGATTTGTTACTGTTTTTTGTCTTATTATTATTTTATAGACATGCTATGTATTACTTACAACATACTCACATTATATAATTTCAGGTTGGTGATATTAAGAAATGGCACTACCGCCAAAGATGTCACGACCCTTGCTATTTAACCAACGTAACAAAAGAGTTTGTTGGTGATCTAAACTTAATGCATTGTGCGGCAATGAGTGGAAGAACTTGTCTGAAATGTACCTGCGATTTTTCGGTACATATGCATGTATATTATTTAACTAAGACTAAAGATGGCAAAATTGTTGATGACGTCGTGAAAAATAATATTAACCAAAAAGAAGAGGCCCTTCGTGAACGTCAAAGATTGATAGGAGAAATAGATCGTCGAAAGAGAGAACTCGAGGAAGAACGAGAAGCTATTATTAAGAGTACGGCACAGTTTGCCCACTTTCTTCAACACAATGCAATTTCACCATTTAACGATTCTTACAAAGGTTACATTGAATATCTAATATCACGGTAAGAAGAGTTAAACTGAGTTAACTTTCATTAATTACATTTTTCAGTGAAAAGAGTCTTGGTCGTAGTGGTGATCCTGAAGTGGTTCATCATTTGGAACAATTGTTGCAACGTTATGTGGAACTAAAATCGGCTTTTGATCAAAGTCTTCAACTGAGTCAACAACACGGACTTAACACAATTGTTTCATCTGCGGTGACAGCTCAAAGTGTTATGAATACAGTTAGCCAACTTTATAAGTTAAAACATAATGGCAAAAAGATCCATGAGTTGCTAAAAAAACAAAAAGCATCAAGGAATTCCGAGTACGACAAAAGCTGTGAGTACGTGCATCCAAAGTCTTCAGATTTAAGCCATTCGGAGAGCTCGAAAAGGAAATCAAAGAAGAAAGATGGTAGTCAAAGCACTGATACTGAAGGAAATAAAAAGGAAGATAAAAAAAAGGGAAACAAAACTGACGATGAATCGAAAAATAAAAATAAACGATATAACAAAAACTACAATTCTTATCAAAGATCGAACAATCAAGATCAACAAGCTCGTCAACCGCGTCAAAATTTTTCATATAATCAAAGGCGAGAGCCCCCGCCGCCGTACCCAGGCCACGATGTAGGTACCTATCAAGGGTCACACCGTCCAAATACACATAGAGGTGACGAAACCAATCTTGTGCTAAAAGTTGAAGTAAGCCATCCAAGTGGTAGTAAACACCAAAGGAACTCTATAAATTCTAATAATTCTCAAAAATCAAATCAAGACCAGGCTTACTATGATCCATCACATTACCAGGGACCACCCCATGGACCCCCACCCTCCTCGTATTATGGTCACGGGCCAAACGAGTATCACGGACCACCACCATTACATCACCAAGGATACTATGCTCCACCTCATGGTGGTTATGTCCCACCTCAAGGGGGTTATGGTCCACCTCATGGGGGTTATGGTCCATCTCATGGTGCTTATGGACCCCCACCTGGCCCATATCCGCCAATGCAGCCTCCATATGGTGCACTTCAAGGCTCCTATCAAGGACATGGTTACGGAACACATCACGGCCCATCTTATCAAAGAAATTATCAACCAGGTCGTGGTCGCCAACACTTTAAAAAAAACAAGCAAGGAGGACATCGTAACAAGTCAAAAGGAAGAAACACTCAAGAGAAGAAGAGTGGAAATGAGAAGAGTGGTCGTTCCGATTCAGATTCAAGTAGCGAGTAAGGTTTTGGTATTTTTTCTTTAAACAAAGGTTTATTGTTTTATTGGAATTGTGTTTGCTTGAAAATAAATTTTAACTATTTGTTAGCCATTTAAATAGTAGTTTTGAAAGTCAATTTTAAGTCAAAACAAAATTTTCTTATTTTTATTAGTTGCTCTTTAGAGTAGAGTACTGAATATGCAGGCAAATAGTTTTTAAATAAAGTTTTCATTGTATGAGTTGTCTTTTTTTATTGAATTATTATTGTCATCAACAAACCAAAAGGTTTGAATAAAAATTCATACTTCTCAAAACTCTCCTCAAAAAGTAAGTTAGGAAACGCACACCTAAAAGAAGCCTAAACGCATACCTAAATTGTCTTATTAACATTGCTAAATGTTCTAAAGAAAATATAGCAGACACAGTTATAATAAGCCGTAATTACTATAATATATTTGATTCAAACTCCAAATTAAATATTATTCCGTTCTTGTCGCGTGCCTCAACTAAATTAAAACGATTTTTAATAATTTACTGTACTGTACAATCGTGGATGAATAATAAATCAATTACTACTTATAAAAACTCAAATCTCTGGTGATACAAATAGTCTTAGTGCGCACCTCAAGATGGAAGACTTCGACTTTTTATCTTCTCTTCAAACAAACCTTTTCTGTTTAAGATGTGTTGGAACGTGGCCTTTACTTAACACTTACAAACTAGATTTCTACACTTTGTATGCAGTCACATCTATAACAGTTTGTATGTTCGGCCACAATTTTTTTCAAACAGTCAACATTTTTTTCATTTTCAACGATCTAAATACCCTCACCGCTGTTATCTTCGTCGCGCTTACTTGTTTGGTAGCTATTTTAAAATCACTGCTATTTATTTTTAATATGAGAAAGCTGAAAAAGCTTTTATTGGTTGATATTAGACAAAATTTGTTTCAACCAAGAAACCGTCAACAAGCAGTTATGGTGGAAAACAGGGTAAATTTTTGGAAGAAGGTTTATTATATTTTTTCTGGAATGGGTATCGCGACTATGTTTTTCTGGACTATTTTCCCAATTGTGGATGGGACGGTTCAACAACACCGGTTGCCCTTTTTGGCATGGTACCCCTTCAATGTCAATGCATCACCGTTTTATGAAATCACTTATATTTATCAAATAATTAGTGTTTTTTTCATTGTTATCGTAAATATGAATTCGGACATGTTATTAGTTGCTTTAATGAATATTCTTGGGGTGCAATGTGACCTATTGTGCGATAATTTGAAAAACATACATTTTAGTGAAGATATAAACGAAGAGTTTCTTCGGTGTATTAATCACCATACGCAAATCTTAAGGTACCTACTTACGTCCAACATTATTTTTTTTATTAAAAAGAAATTCTGAATTTCAGTTATGCTAACGATTGCAACAAGTTCTTTAATATAATCGTTTTAGCACAATTTTTCACCACTGTAGCCTCCTTGGGACTGACAATGTATCAGTTGACAATTGTAAGTAATAATATTGTTGAAAGTTAAAATTTTTATCCATACTTTCAAAGGTTACCCCCTTTACCAGTGAATTTTATTCGTTTATAGTCTATGGAAGTGCGGTTTTAATGGAAATATTCTTATACTGCTGGTTTGGAAATGAAGTGGAATTTAAGGTAAAAAAAAATAGTTTTCTCAATTTTGTTTTTAGTCTTTTTTCTAGAGCTTCAATATTCCTTTTGCTGCATTTGAATTTGATTGGACTATCAGTAGTATCGGACTGCAAAAAAAAATAATTTTTTTAATTGCAAAAAGTCAACGACCAATAAGAATGACTGCCCTTAGCTTGTTTCATCTATCACTGGAAACTTTCGTTAAAGTAAAATTAATAATTAAGTTTAAATGTACTCACTAATTGATGTTTTTAGATTTTGCGTACGGCTTACTCATATTTTGCCCTTTTAAACAATGTAAATTCACTAAACTAATCATTATTTATTATACTTAGGAATGAAAACATATGAAACTACTAAATGCGGTCATCTTTTAACAAAGCTGTAATAATTCACTTTTGTAATAATAATAAATTAATGTAGATTTTTATTCACATTTAGTAAAAGCACACTTATCCATCAACATTGTTTTAATACATGAATTAAAATCGAAATATTTCTTTGTGACGCTTTAATATGTTATCAAAAAGTAAAATTATTCAATAAAAATTCACTTTAAATAACTCTTAAGTTGCTTTATTTTCCTTGCAACAGTTTTCATTATACATTTCAAATTAAATATGCAATGAAATATGAATATGAAATTATAAAAGCAATTATCTTAAAAATACGACAAAATTAAAAATGTATGCTTTTCGAAATGTCGGCCATCATTCGCATTAAGTCGTTCAATTAGTATTATTAATTATTACAAAATCTTCGTTATTACCTATATATATATATATATATAAAGGCTTCTTTTATGGGAAAAACCAGATGGCACAATAATTTTTTTAAATAATTTACCATCGATCATTAATTGACTGCAACCTACTAATTATCTCATTTTTTAAATTCAAATACAAATTATTAGTTGTGAAATGTAAAACCTTGCTTAAGTTTGTGAATAAAACATTTAGAAATTGTAAAGAATAAAAGTCTCCTCATTTTACTTAATAATAAGTGGGTACGTAGACGTATCGCATCAACTAAAGCCATTTAAATAGTCTTTTATTTATGTATTTTCAAAAGATTGTGTGATTTATGTCCATGTCAAAAATTTTAGAAAAAGGTATTGCTACGATATTGGGTCCGCTTCTATGTACAAGATTATGAAAAACGCCCCAAGCCATATGTCCATTATTTTTAAAGATATCACACTAGGTAGTGCGGATACGTGTGTCGACCCTAAACAAAATACAGGTGCGCCAGAACTCGCGCCCAGAGAAAAATGCCATATAAGGTAAGATACCAGGAACATGGAAAAAATGTTAAAAAAATTTTATCTATAAAAATTTCGAAGATAGAGGGTTAAAGTTTGCACTTTGACTCTATTTATTTCTGTTGTAAAAATAATTTGCCAAGTTTTTTTGCTATAGGCTATTAAAAGAGGAAACAAGGAAGCTGTATCCTAAATTGTAACTCTGTTCCATGTTATTTGTGGCTTGTATTGGCAAAATTTTTGTCCCTTTACTAAATACTTGTAAAAAAAACATATAAAAGATCATCAGTATCATTAAATATACCATTGAGCCATTCCACGAGAAAAGTAAACCACATTGGAAAAAATTAACAGAATCTAATCTAAGCCACTTAAGTGAAATTAAGTAAATTAAACGTTCTATTTTAAGTGTCAAGCAGTTTCAGTATCATTGTCACAATTTTAATATTACTTATTGTTTCCGTACATGCAGCGGCATTTCATTTATTTAAGAATACTCCATTATAATCTTGTAGGTGCTTGTCATGGTTACTACAGGTATTTAACCAAAAGCTAATGTCATTTTACAGAGGTAATATTGATTGTGTTTTTAAAGTGTTTGCAATTTTATTAGGGTGTGTTAACTATTTTAATTTTTTTGTCCCGTCCGTTAACAAAAACATTTAAAAATTCCCATCAAAACTTTTGTAGGGAAAACACGAGTTGGTTTTCTCTCTTATTAAGTACTTAATTCAAATAAATGATGCTTGGTTTAGTTCATATTACAAAGTCATTAATATTTTTTTCTTAAATTAATAAAAATGTCCCCCCGTTATCAGTTTTGTTCGAACGTATAACGCTATGCATAAAGATTCTTGAGAATCAACTAAATCAATTCAAACTTCATTTTTATGTAAAAAAAGTCCAAGAACAGTACTTTCAGTCGACAAAAGAAAGTATCAGCTTGAATGAAGTCGTGATTCAAGTTCACTTCGCTGAAAATTACTCTTTGGTGTCACAAGATGAGATACAAGCTGCCCATTGGTCACACAAGCAAGTAACAATTTTTACATGTGTTGCCTGGTTAACCAACTCTACAGAATCATTTGCAATTGTTAGTGATGACTTGACCCATAGTACCTACTTCTTTTAAAAAAATAAGGCCACCATTACCCTGAGCATATGAGATAATAGGAGCCAGGGGCCATTATTACCCTTAATCACAAAAATCACAGATATATGTCTTTTTCGATCCCCCCGAACAAGCTTGATGAGCCCATTTGCCACAAAAAGTGCACTGTAACCAAAGCTCATTATTTTTCCCGAATTCTCCACAAACTAAGTAAATATCGCCATCAATTTCTTTATCCTCGTCCGTTTCATATAGACTGTTGTGTTCATCACTTTCTGAAAAGTCGCCTTGCGAATGAACCACAGTTTTTGTTTGCCGTTTGCGCAACTTACTAGTGGTTGGACTGTCATCGCTGAAAACTTGCCGTTTACATTGCTGAAGCTTTTTATTGCTAGGTCTTTTATTTTTCCTTTTATTCTCCTTTTCCTCTAAGACGTCCTTGTTTGGAGTTGATGTTATGATTTCTGAATGTTGTTTCTTTGATTTGCCCTTCCTTCTTCCTTCGTTTCCACCTACGGGAACTGTTCGCATCGATGGGATAGGCAACAAATCAACAAAGGAAACATTTGCTTGATTTTCAGGTCTCTGGACATCCTCTGGTAGATGATCAGGGGTCCTTTGAACATGGGCTGCCATAATTTCTTCTCGTGGCAGTGTCGCCTCACGCTCAGGAGGCTCTCTATTCATATTCATTTGAAGCTCTGCCGGTGCGAAATCTTCGTTGGTAAATACATCCGGATTGTATGGAAAGATACCACTAACTTTAAACCCATTTATTGCTTTCTCAGGTGTGGCGATTCTAATAAAAGCGTTGTTGAAAAGTTGTGCAACTTCAAAAGGGGTGATCTTGGTATGCGGATTCGATCTCATATATTTATCGCATTCCACGTTATAGGCTGTTTTTAGTGATGAATAAAATGTGAGATCCAATGGCTGGATCTTATGCGATGTATGGGGTGGTAGCGAAAGAAGAATGATGACTTTATCGTTGACAGCACACTTCACTGCCTTATCTGAAACCCTGTAAATAGTTCCCACGGGTCCTCCTTTTTGTAGCTGGATATTCATCGTTTTCTGGCGTAAATCAGCATGGGTGGAATATATGCACCACCGGCACTCATTGCACAGACCGCGGTTATTGTCCTTCCTCTCTCCCAGCTAGTTGCAAATCCAATTTGCTTTTGACCCTTCGGTGCAAGAACTTTTGATGGAATCTGCACTGTTGACAGGCCCGTTTCGTCCACATTATAAATTTGTGACGGTCCAAGTTCATTCTTTTTCAAAATCTTGTTTAAATTTTGGAAAAATCTTCTAACTTCTGCTTCATTAAAGGCTGTAATTCTATTTATACTAGTTGCTTCCGGTTTTCGTAAAGAAATTGTAGGACTTATAATACCAATCATCGCCAGCCTTTTCTTTGGCCTGATTAAATGGGCACTTAATTTGATTTCTGGAGGCATAAGTGAATGCAGCCTTTTTAATGAGATCTTTGGTTAAACCATAAAAAAGATTTGATAAGTGAATTGTGTGTGTTGCCAGCTCTTCTTCTTGTTCCTTAGTGAATACCGCATTTCGTCCCAAACAAGCTTGTTCTTCATTATTCATTTTCAATCTTTTCTGTAATGTGCTTCGTGGAATACCATAAGTTCTAGCAGCTTCTCGCTTTGCTGTCCCTCTTCGAATTGCACTTAGAGCAGCAGCTAACTGCTCTTTGGTCCATGAGGCCTTTTGAGTGGTGCGTTGGTACTTTCTAGGCATTGTCTGAATCAATAAAAGCAAATAAAAACAAATGCTTTCACAAATGGGTAATAGTGGCCAAGCCCTTATTACCCAGTTTCCTGTGGCCTCTATTCCCCCAAATCTACCGTATAGGTTTTGAAATATAAAACAAAGTCTCACGAAGCATTATGACCACGTATGATAGTATAGGCATAAACAGGATTTAAAATTGTTGGGGAAATGATTTTGCAGGCCTTCTAACCCTAATAACAGGGAATACTTACCACTTTGAATAGCAGGCACAGCTTATAACAACACGGCCATGTGACTAATATTTGCAGATAATATCGGAGTGGTACCTAAGTTCGCGATGAACTTCTGGCGGTTGTATTATCTAATAATTAATAGATGGCGCATGCACTTAGTTTTTATATATCTATGGTCAGAATGGGGAAAATCGCAGGGCCACTAATGCCCCGACGGCTACGAATCCCCCAAGTCCCCCTATATTTTTTTATTTTGTTTGCAAAAGTTTTTTTACTCAAGAATTATTGTTAATTTGCATGTTTTCTATAAAATAAATTATTAATTGTAAGCATATTCTCAATTTATATGCCCACAAACTGCAAAAATGCTTAAGCGGCCACGAATCCCCCAAACTCCCCTAAATATGCCGTCTATGTTTTCATAAAAAAAGTAGTACTGCAAGATAAATTTAAAGAGATTAACAAGATTACATTTTTTTCTAACAGTTGTGCGGCACAATTTAAGAATAAATATACTCTTCTATACTTTTTTCCGACTGATTTCGGCATCTCCGCGGAATGGAATTTCTTTGCCACGTCACATAGTAAGGGGGCTGTAGATGGAATAGGAGGTCTAGTTAAAAGATTTATGTGGATGGAAGTAAAGTCAAGAAAATCGGAAATCAATAGTGAGTATGACTTTTACCAATGTGCCAAGACTAATAATAACTAATGTGCATGTAATGTTAATTACCAAAAGCGAAATACAAAAGATTAAAGAAATGTTGGATGGAAGATGGCAAAAAGTATCCAGAATCCCTCAGGTCCAATCAAAACACTGTTTTAAGGCCGAAAGTCCGCATCGTTTAATCATCAAACGTACTTTTAAATCATCAGCAGATGTATGTAGCATTCTTACTTAGCCTAAGTTTCTATGCCATTTGTCAGTTATCGTTGATGTTTTTTGAATGTTGGTTTCATTGGTTAATAAAATTATTTTCTAAATATGAACCCTAGAATTAAGTTATGTCTCCGTCCGTTATGTCCCATCCGTTAACCAGTTTAAAAATATAAACATTTCTTCTATGGTTACAATGCTCATGATTATAGTATTCCG